TCATTCTAAAAATATAGATGCACTTTGGGCAAAGAATTAAGTAACTTTGTTTTGATTGTTATGAAACAGCCAGTGATGAAGCCCCAAGTACACACAGCTTAGGAAATGCAAGATGAAGCCTGGTACTTAGTTCTTAATTCGGATCTGAAGACTTTGGCCATGAATGAGTGATTTTTGGCGGACACTGACAGTGTGCCAGATACAACAGGGTTCTCTAGGCTTGGCTCATTCTCTTTCAACGTTGAGTTATTTCAGTGAATATTACTATTATTCTCTTCTACTTGTCAACCTGAGAGTTGGCCTAATTTAAAGAGCCGTGGAGGCTTTTGCATGTAAATCCTGATAAAAGCTGCTACCGCCCAGCCCAAGGCCACAAAAACTAAATGCAGACCAAAGAGGGGTTGGATGTACAAAACAAACAGTTCACAGACTGAGTAATCGTGTAATTCATGCCTCAATTTTCTGGTGTTTTTTTTTCCAGAACCGAATGGAGGAAAGCAAAGCACTCTTTAGAACAATTATCACGTATCCCTGGTTCCAGAACTCCTCGGTTATTCTGTTCTTAAACAAGAAAGATCTTCTAGAGGAGAAAATTATGTATTCCCACCTCGTTGACTACTTCCCAGAGTATGATGGTAAGTGAGCCCTCCTCCGCCGGCCAGTAGCTGGGGGCACATCCTTCCCCCGCGACCAGGGCCTTGCTGTGCACGGCCGCTGCCTGCGCCCTCAGAAGCCCACGTGTTGTGATGGGTGGAGTATGATCTGAAATGTTTCATTCCCTAAAATACTGAGAGTTAAATGTATTTCAAAACAGAGTTTTCTTTTGCTGTATCAGAGGAGGGAGCAGTCCCATAGTTTTGACTAATTGCGTATCAACCATTCTAGTTCCTTCTTTCTTTCCCTTTCATTTGGTAACAGTCTGTCTGTCCCTGCCTCTCTCTGGAGGGAGAGCAGAATTGTGTGGTCAGGAGCCCACGGTATGAAGTCAATCTACACAGATTCAGATCCCAGTTCTGATATTTCCTGCTTGTAGAACCATGACCAAGTCACTTAATTTCTGTAGATGTTAGGACCAAACTTACGTTTTGCCGACTGTAATGGCTAACACGTGTGACATTTTAGCATGGTGCCTAACGCCTAGTGAATGTTCGAGAAATATTTACATTGGGGGGTGCTTCACGGCCCAGTGAAGTCTCGTCACCCTTCAGGATGGCACCCATCCTTTAAGCTCTCCCTGAAGCACTTAGAACCTATAGCACCCACTTCGGCTCTCACCTGGCTTTGCATCATTTTCTTCCTTCTTATAAACAAATCTCGCCTCCTCGGCTAGATGGAAATCCTCAACCACTGGACATGACACCCAACCCCTTCTGAGAAATACTTGACACATTGGCAACCACCACCTGCTGCTCTAAAACGGTGAACGAGTCACCGTCACTGCCCTGTAAGAACTGAGGTGCCGGATACACACACCTCTCCGGCACATACTTGAGTCTAGATTAGGAGTGGCAAGCCTGCTGCCTCTTTATAAATAAAGTTTTATTGAAACAGCCACACACCCACTCCTTTATATACTGTCCAGCTACTTCTGTGCTGCAGCCGCAGAACTGAGTAGTCGTGGCAGAGATCACAAAGCCTAAAATATTTCCTCCGGTCCTTAACAGGGAAAGTTTGCCAAACCCAGATCTAGATGACGAGTAGGGCAGAGGACAGGCTTTGAATGTCACCA